TTGAAATCACCACAAATCCGTTCGTAAGCTCGCCGATCGTATGGATTATTTACAGCATACCACGCCTTGTCCTGCGGATCGGGGCTCTAATTTCTTTCAAAAGATGTCTAATCTGGTAGTACACGTCATAAGGAACACAGACTGACTCAGCGGACCCCGACAAGTGTCGTTCAACGTCATGCCACACCCCGTTGGCGTGCCCCACACGGCGAAATTGAATTGATTCTGCCACCACTGCATCGGGTTGTTAAACAAAGCGTACACTGTTTTCGCATTCATGATTGAAAGCCTATGCTTTTTAAATACATAAATAAATCGAACTCGAAAGTGGGAACCATCCTTTGCATCGACCACAATATTCGGTTGCATGAGATTGGTAGCACTTATATTATCGCTTTTAGAATAAAACACTCTCGGTTTATACATATTGGAATTGTTATATAGTATACATATCCTCTTTATTAATATGTACGTGACGCTTCCGTTAATCACGAGTGGCGAGTTATTCATCGATGGAATTCGCCACGATTTGTCCGACGGTTATTACAGCCTTTGCATGCTGAAAAACGAAATTGTCAAACCCATCAGAGCCAGCCTCAAACACAACGCGTCGAATGGCACGATAAAGTTAAAGACAGGAAAAAAATCCATCAGGCTCGGTAAAATCTTGGTGGAACGACATACGACCGCAAATCACCGCCGCGTGTTCGAGATATCCCAGCCTCGTCGTCTATCATGAGGTGTTCGTTCATCTCGATCAGGTAAGCATGACCAACAACGTTGTAGGCGAACGACCTTCAACCCTGCTGAGAGCCGTGCCGGTGAAAACAGAAAAGTGCAACGACGGTAGAACCGAATCGTTTTCATCACGGCAGTACAAAAAAGTAATCTGGGGCAACATCACGGAATTGAAAATATCAGTTTTAGACATTAAACACGATAAAACAAGTATAGGACATCTCAGCGCGACGTTGCACGTACAAAAACAATGACCAAAGCTTCGGGTCCGGGAATGAGCATGCGACCGAGAAAATGTCCTACCATCGCTCTCTCTGATCTCGGGGACACGCATGGAGTTGACGAGCCCGGAATCAAGGGCAAACTGTATGCATTGCAACTGAAAAACACCATTTACAAACGCATCGAAGTGACAGCCTAAGGCGGCAACAACAACATCAGTGCCCTAAGCGATTTGGTCAACACCGAAGGAGCGGTCAGCAATGAGCGGTACGACCTTGTCTGCAAAGACGGGGACGAATGGGCGATATCCAGAGCCTTCGGCGGCAAGCTGTTCGACCTGAATGACTTCGAGACCACGGTCGTCGCTCAAAACATGCCTTACACTTTCATGTTCACGATTGGCTCTTTTACAGAAATCAAATACCACTACCTAACCAAAGTCGTGAACAAGGGGATTATGCTCTTGGCTTACGTCCCAACGCAAAGAGGCAGCTTGATCCTAAGCCCGCTCTCGCAAAAAATAGCCAACACAATATCAGGCAAATCTGGATGCAAAACGTAAGTTTGCAGATGGTGTAGGAATTTGACGAATTGGTTAACTTCATGGAAAATCTGCCGGAGAATTCCACGCTGATCATCCAAGTCTCCCTAGGCGAACCCCCGTCTGCATCGTGCGAAGTCAAAATCGTGAGTGGGATCAAACTCCGCTGGTCCAAGAAAAAACAACACCACATTTGCTCCGATTAGGTTGTGGTGAACGTCAACTCATACACCAGCCTGCAGGGAGTCCTACCCGACAACAAACATTTCATAGGCTTGAAGTGCACCTATAAGAAATTATCCGAAAACTAATTGAAAACCATTTCGTAACACATTATATATAAACGAGATGAACCATCGACCCACCGTCACGCTAGCCGGTCTCGGGGATACGGAGGGATTAGATCTGCCAAGCAAGGAAAACACCTTGTACGTCCTGCACTTAAAGACAACGTATACGAGCGGGTGTCACTAGCAGACTTCGAACAGCCCGACTGGCTGAATGACATGACCCACACCTCACCCTACATACCTTTCAAAAACGATGGTTACGTTTCCAAAATTACGAACAACGGGATCCTTCTCACGTCTTTCACTCAAGAATTTGATGTACAGGTTTTACGAATACCAGGTCACACGGGCAACATGTTAGCTTCAAACGACATGGCTTCATATTTACGGTTCGACGTACACGATTACCAACGGGATTTTTTTCGATTCAAATTTGACTCTCAAATCACACAACACGCTCGTAGTAGGTGTCTATCTTGCAGACGCTCGTGGGTCAGAACGAACACTTTTGACTGGGTTGACAATGAATTGGTTCGCTAAACACAATCACCAACAGTGTAGTATCGTCATAAGACCGGGATCAACACCCTTAGTAAGCCTCGATGGAGTGCGTGTTATTGAAATAAATCCGATTCATGTCTCAAATATTTACGTGTACGATAATCTAAACCTTATCAGCCTCAAATACATCGATCGGATATTAACTGAAAACCAGTTAAATATTATTTTATTTAAGAATAAATATTATATACAGGACGGGACTGTACCCAGTCGTGGATGAAGTAGCATTTTTTAAATTGAACCCTTGGGAGGGACCTGGTCCCATAGCCCCATGGTGTATACTACTGGAGGTCATTCAGTCATCTTTGAATCTCGTCCCAAATGTGGTCGATTGGACTTAAATCCGGACTGAGTGCAGGCCGTTGAAGAGTTTGGGATGCTATGCTGTCTTAGGAAGTCCAATGTTGCTTTGGCAGTGTGGGCACGAGCGTTGTCTTGCTGGAAGATGTGATTTCTGTGACGCCAAAAATGTGGTACAACGTGGGGTCTTATGACTTTGTTAATAGAGAGAGCACCTGTCATGCCATTTCCTCCTCCTGGGCCGTGATTCTGGAACACCACGGGGCCAACTCTCTGGTTCAGACCGATTGCACCCCGCACCATGCTGCTTGGACCACCCCACGAGTCTCTTTTTAAAAAATACAGTCATTGGAAAAACGTTCCCCACGCCTTCGCCATACTCTCACTCTGCCACCGGTTGTTGAAATACGGTATCGGCTTTCATGAGAAAAACGCAGTGTTCTCCATTTTCGATAATGCCAATTTTGATACCCATTGCAGTCAGATTTAGTGTTGAAGATCGTTGAGAACAGGGCCACGATATGTTTTTTGACAGCAGAAGTTTCTTCCGCGCAAACGTCGATGCACTATATCGGCACTCATAGTTATGTTGTGAGTCCCAATGGTCTGGCTTGCTGTTTCCGTTGCACTGGTGAAGAGATCCTGCAGATGGTTGCGCACATGGTTTCCTTTGATCTCTCGTTAGTCGTGACATGACGATTCTGTCAACACAAGAATGACACCAGGCGAGACTCACCTTCATTGGTAGGGTTGTCAGGATATGGTGCATTTTCATTTGGTTCTGAAAGGTAGCGTTTCTTTTTCGATTCAGTATACTTAGATACCCCCAGATTAAGTCACAGCTAACATGGCATTTAGGCTAACAATGTGTGTTAAATAGAGCAGCAATAGTCACCTTAGAGGAGGGTATCCAAACCAGTATAACCACATTATGTTATGTGGTAAAATTTGATGCACTATTATTTCTGATTCTGAAAAACCGTGATGACAATCTGTAAAAAAATGGCATCTTGAAATATGGGTGATGTAGAAGATTGCAATTATATTTTTCATTTTAATGGGTGATATGTTAATTACTTTTAATAATAACTACTGTAAAAGGGTTTCTCAACAGTTACTATATTCTGAGACAATAAGCATTGTTACTACATAACTTATGTTCATGTCTTATGACCATGATATAGTATTGAAATTATAACATCATCCGGGACAATAGTTTTGAGTACAATGAAAATACCAGCCCATTCAAGCAAACAGAAGAAAAATATTTTATAATCAAACACAGTCAACAGATTTGAGGTCTGAACGGAGTCATTTGGCTGCAGGTGTGTGACTTAATTTTGTTGCTGCTCAAGTTACTTCCCCTTGTAGCTCACTACAGAAAGTAGGATTTACTTTCTTGTCACCTGGCAGGGCAGAGACATCGTTCGCGTTTCACAAGGTAAATAATACACATATTGCTGATTGTTGCATAAAAGAACCTACATTGACTCATTTGTCCATGTAGTACATATTGACACAGAACTTGTGACAATAGATAAGGGCTCATTCCTGAAATAAAACCATACTGGTATTTTTCCTGCTATCATCATGTTTTGATTCTGTTTGACAATCTATACTGTTTAGATGAAACCAATATATTTGTTGATAGATGTCACACAGGACAACACAATTTTCAGGATAATACACATATCGTCATCCTTTATTCGCGATAGCCACAGCCTGGGTATGCAGGCATTGTGCAGTCCTTGGCCGGGTGAGACAAATTGAATGTGACAACAGCAGTGAAACACGTCACTGTACTGAGGTCTGTGACTCATCGCCATCTCTGCTATGTTGTCACACATTGTTTCGTTTCCTTGAAGGTACTGAATGTAAGATAGCACTTTGGTTTCGTCGGCTGTCACAAGCCAGAGATCCCGAAGTAGCCTTTTTAATTCTTCCAGGGTATCAACAATTACTGAAAAACACCCACTCACGCATGCATGCATGTATACACGTACACACTACTGCTACCAATGCTGGTGCTGCTACTACTAGTAGTCATACTATCGCCAATGGTTCACTTTGCTCATGCTGAAGAAGCATTACTTGAGTCATCAATAATTATGACTATTTGGAACACTCACTCACTCATTCCTGCTTACTACCACCACCACCACCACCACTACTCACTCACTCTAAACTAGTGAAATGAAAATTCGATACTAATCAGTATTCTAAAATATGGTTTGTATATACTATTTCAGAAAACTGGATTGCGGTCAAAATAACAGATTGGTATGATGGCAACATGTTTCTTGGAACCTTAAATGCTGTAGATGGAACAAACTATGATGTTTTGAAGCATGGAAACTGACAACAAGCTGCCACGAGATGGCACTGTTTCTGGATCCTCCACAGATGCTTTTATTACAACCAGGAGAAGACAACAGCCAGGCAAACAACATAGTACAACACTGGCACCAGGTGGCGTTGTGGCTGGATCCCCTGCAGGTTCTTCTGTGGTGAGCAGGGAAAGAAAGAAGCAAGTAGGACAACATACTACAACACTGACACCAGGTGGCGCTGTGGCTAGATCCCCTGCAGGTTCTTCTGTGGTGACCAGGGAAAGAAAGAAGCAGGTAGGACAACATAGTACAACACTGACACCAGGTGGCGCTGTGGCTGGATCCCCTGCAGGTTCTTCTGTGGTGACCAGGAAAAGAAAGAAGCAGGAGGAACAACATAGTACAACACTGACACCAGGTGGCGCTGTGGCTGGATACCCTGCAGGTGCTTCTGTGGTGACCAGGAAAAGAAAGAAGCAGGAGGAACAACATAGTACAACACTGACACCAGGTGGCGCTGTGGCTAGATCCCCTGCAGGTTCTTCTGTGGTGAGCAGGGAAAGAAAGAAGCAGGGGGAACAACATAGTACAACACTGACACCAGGTGGCGCTGTGACTGGATTCCCTGCAGGTTCTTCTGTAGCGACCAGGAAAAGAAAGAAGCAAGTAGGACAACATAGTACGACACTGACACAAGGTGGAGCTGTGGCTGGATCCCCTGCAGGTTCTTTTGTGGTGAGCAGGGAAAAAAAGAAGCAGGGGGAACAACATAGTACAACACTGACACCAGGTGGCACTGTGGCTGGATCCCCTGCAGGTTCTTCTGTGGTGACCAGTGAAAGAAAGAAGCAGGAGGAACAACATAGTACAACACTGACAGCAGGTGGCGCTGTGGCTGGATCCCCTACAGGTTCTTCTGTGGTGACCTGGGAAAGAAAGAAGCAAGTAGAACAACAAACTACAACACTGACACCAGGTGGCGCTGTGGCTGGATCCCCTGCAGGTGCTTCTGTGGCGACCAGGAAAAGAAAGAAGCAAGTAGAACAACAAACTACAACACTGACACCAGGTGGCGCTGTGGCTGGATCCCCTGCAGGTGGTCCTGTATTGACCAGGAAAAGAAAGAAGCAAGTAGAACAACATAGTACAACACTGACACCAGGTGGCGCTGTGGCTGGATCCCCTGCAGGCGCTTCTGTGGCGACCACAGATAGTCTCACTGCCACAGAGGTAAAACAACATCCGGGGAGACAACCCACTACAACACTGGCACCAGATGGCACTGTGGCTAGACCTACCACAGATACTGTCACAGCCACTGAGGCAGGTCAGCTGCAGGGGGTACAATCATTTTCAACAACCACACACTACTACCTACCGGGTAAGGCTGTTTGCAAAACCTGCATTTGTATTTCTTTTTTAGGAAAAGGGGATGGGGGTCGGGTGCGTGTGTGTGTGTGTGTGTGTGTGTGTGTGTGTGTGTGTGTGTGTGTGTGTGTGTGTGTGTGTGTGTGTGTGTGTGTGTGTGTGTGTGTGTGTGTGTGTGTGTGTGTGTGTGTGTTTGTGTTTGTGAGTGAGTGAGAAAGTAATCAAGGCACCAAGTGTTTATCAAGTTGAATCCTTTGGTTGTATAACCATCCTGTGATCTTGTGTTCACATTGAGTATTTACATTGATTTATTATGTATTTTGGGTTGCCAGAATCAGACCTGTGCTTTTAGGTTTTACCAAAGTGGTTCACATCTGAGTCTTGCATCGTTTCCGGTAAATATCATTAGTGTGGTAAACATGGAAGACTTTGGTCATTTTAGAATGTATGTCACCCCCTTACACCCTATCTCACTCACATCAGTGGAGAGGCTGTGATATTAACAAGTGACAAGTCTGATAGAGAGATGTCTAATTTCAATGGATTATAATGGAGTTCTTTTCCTTTCTTCAACCCAGGTTCAGTTTCACAATGTAACATCTCCAACTCCTCCAACGTTGCATTCGGAGACAGCGGACATCGAGGCTGGATATCACAAGGTGGGATAACTCTAGATAACTACCTGATGTTTTTAAGTGACCAGCTGTATAAACGACCTGCTCTTTGGTCTGAAGTTGTTCGATCAAGGTTACAACATCCATCTAACTTCAGTAAAGGTTCAAAAAGTTTTATGGTAGATATGAACATTTCAAATGTCTGTTGCATAAATAAGCTGCTGAAAATAACTCACTGTACATAAATGACCCGCTGTATATAAATGATCCTCTGTATATAATAACCCATTGTATTAAATGACCCGCTGTATTAAATGACCCATTGTAAATAATAACCCGCTGTATTAAATGACCCGCTGTATTAAATGAACAGCTGTACATAATGTCCCGCTGTATTAAATGACCCACTGTATTAAATGACTCTCTGTATGTAAATGAGCTGCTGTACATAAATAACCCACTGTACATAAATGACCCGCTGTACATAAATGACCCACTGTATATAATAACCCGCTGAATTAAATGACCCATTGTAGTAAATGACCTGCTATTTTAAATGACCTACTGTATATAAATGACCCGCTGTACATAAATGACCTGCTGTATTTAATGACCCGCTGTATATAAATCATCCGCTGTACATAAATAACCCGCTGTACATAAATTACTCACTGTACATAAATAACCTACTGTATATAAATGACTCGCTGTACATAAATGACCCGCTGTAGTAAATGACACACAGCATAAAAAGGATCCGCTGTATGTAAATGACCTGCTGTATTAAATGACCTGCTGTATTAAATGACCAGCTGTATTAAATGACCAGCTTTACATAAATGACCTGCTGTAGTAAATGACCCACTGTATATAAATGACCCGCCGTACATAAATAACCCAGTGTACATAAGTGACCCACTATACATAAATAACCCAATGTATTAAATAATCCTTTACAAAATGACTCCACTGTACATAAATGAACCCAATGTATTGAAATAAATAACCCTGTATTAAATGACATATAAATGACTCATAAATAACCCACTGTATTAAATGCTGTATATGAACTGTATGACCCGCTCCGCTGTATATAAATGACCTGTACATAAATGTACCCGCTGTACATAAATAACCCGCTGTATTAAATGACCTGCTGTATATAAATGACCCAATGTACATAAATAACCCACTATTAAATGACCAGCTGTATATAAATGACCCGCTGTATAAAATGACTCGCTGTACCCGCTGTACATAAATGACCGGCTGTAGTAAATGACCCACTGTATATAAATGACCCGCTGTACATAAATTACCCTGTATTAAATGACCCGCTGTATATAAATGATCCGCCAATGTATATAAATGACCGGCTGTATATAACTGTACATAAAACCCGCTAACTGCCATATATAACTGTATATAAATGACCCATCTGTACATAAATGACCCACCCACTGTACATATAAATGACCCGCTGTATATAACCATGACTAGCTAGCTGTACATAAATGACCCGCTGTGTATATAAATGACCATTGTACATAAATGCTGTATTATGAAAAATGACCCGCTGTATATAAATGACTAGCTGTACATAAATGACCCGCTGTATATAAAAGACTCGCTGTACATAAATGACCCGCTGTATATAAATGACCCGCTGTACATAAATGACCCGCTGTAATAAATGACCCGCTGTTTATAAATAACCCACCGTACATAAATGACCCGCTGTATATAAATGACTGGCTGTACATAAATGACCCGCTGTATATAAAAGACTCGCTGTACATAAATGACCCGCTGTATATAAATGACCCGCTGTATATAAATGACCCGCTGTACATAAATGACCCGCTGTATTAAATGACTCTGTATGTAAATGAGGTGCTGTAGTAATTGACCCACTGTATATAAATAACCTGCTGTATATAAATGACCCACTACGCACACATGACCGGCTGTATAAATGGCTAGTTGTATAAATGACCCACTGTACATAGATGACCAGTTGTAATAATTACCCACCGTATATAAATGACCTGCCATACATAAATGAACCGCCATATAAATGACGCACTGTACAAATGACCTGCTGTATAACTGACCTGCCTTATAAATCATCCACTGCATAACTGACCTGCTTTATAAATGATCCGCTGTTTAACTGACCTGCCTTATAAATGACCGCTGTATAACTGACCTGCCTTATAAATGATCTGCTGTATAACTGACCTGCCTTATGAATGATCTGCTGTATAACTGACCTGCCTTATAAATCATCCACTGTATAACTGACTTGCCTTATAAATGATCCGCTGTTTAACTGACCTGCCTTATAAATGACCGCTGTATAACTGACCTGCCTTATAAATGATCTTCTGTATAACTGACCTGCCTTATAAATGACCGCTGTATAACTGAACTGCCTTATAAATGATCTGCTGTATAACTGACCTGCCTTATGAATGACCGCTGTATAACTGACCTGCCTTATAAATGATCCGCTGTTTAACTGACCTGCCTTAGAAATGACCGCTGTATAACTGACCTGCCTTATAAATGACCGCTGTATAACTGACCTGCCTTATAAATGACCGCTGTATAACTGACCTGCCTTATAAATGACCGCTGTATAACTGACCTGCCTTATAAATGACACAGTGTATATCAATGAGCTGCGGTGGTTCTTCCATGTTGACCCAATGTTTAGTCATATTGATTATCTGTAAAATACCAGCAGTAAATAATATTATATGTGGTATTAAGAATTACATTGAATTCAGAATGGTCCAAAGTTTCACAAACTTTGAATTTCAGTTTTAATTTTATGTTTGTTCTTATTTTCTCCAGAGAGTCTCAGCATAAGGATCAACCAGCTCAGTGATATGTTAGTACAAACCCGTGCTCTTCACAAAGCAGAGGAACTTCTGAAGAGGCACAGCCATGTTGCAATTTGTGGAGCCCCTGGAGATGGGAAGACTACTGCTGCTCTCAGGATCTGTGAAACGTATATGAAGAAAAACTATCAAGTATTGTTTGTTGAAAATATTGAAGAGTTTGACATTGATGTTGTCATTAAGCGAAAGTGTGACATGTTGGTTGCGTTTGACGATATCTTTGGTTCTGTCGCTGTTCCTAGCAGCTTGGAGAAATTACGCAAAGTGTTCAATGCCTTGGTTGATATTTTACTTTGCTTTACAAGAGACGAGGAGCTAGCAGCCGAGAAAGAAAGAAAGAAGAAGAAAATGAAGAAAGGTATACAGAAGGAAGATGAGAAGCAAAGTATGGACGAAACGACTGAAAAAAGCAACTACAAGCTTCGCTTCATTTTCACATCCAGGAACTACAACTGGAATGAGGGCTGTTCAAGACTACATCAGTTCAAAGTAAATCTGTTAAAACATGAAACCATTGTTGATATGATCAAGACATGTTTAACCATTGAAGAAAAGAAACAGATCATGACCTTGTTCAGGACCAGAAGCCAAATCTGCAGTATCTCCGATAAGGACATGAAAACTATTACAGAGTTAAAAGACAGCATGTTTGGATATCCTTTGACCTGTAAACTGTACTTCACCAACCGAGTGTTCCAGATGCATAGTCTTGGGGACTTTTTTCTGAAACCGGTGACATACCTGAGAGGTGACCTTGACACCATTGTCCGTGAAGGCAGCAGCAGATCGGCTGCTCTGATTCTCCTGGTCCTGTGTGGAGGGAAACTGGACCTTGCCTCCTTGATGTGTGGGACAGACAAGAAGGTCACAGATCTGTTTCATGTTGTAACGGAGAAGGTAGCACCATGCACCGATACAGACATAGAAAGAGAGATAAGCAATTTTACTGGCACCTACTGTGTCGTGGAGAATCATGTAGCCTCCTTTTCACATCCAGCCATCCACGACGCTGCCGCATGTGCTTTTGGGAATCTCAACAGTGTTTTATTAGTAAAACACTGTTCCCTTCAGTTTTTGTATGAAAGGGTTAGACCAAACATGCCTGATGCTCGACAGACAACCCAAGCTGATGATGTGACAAACATGATCTACATCACTTCCCGTCTTTACCCATTGATGATCAACAGGATAGTGAAGGGTATCCGTGAAGATTGCTTCAGATGGACAGTAGGCCACCCTGTATTCAGAAACGATAAATTATCATCCTCACTGATGACGGAACTGAAAAATGACTTGCCTTATATAGTCCACCGAAAGGACAGCACATCTGGTGAATGTTTTCTATACTGGACTTCCCTGTCTAAAAATGATTTACTGTTCAGTCAGTCATTATTACTGATGAGTAAAAAGGAAAATCTTTCCCCTGAAAATGTCAAAGACCTGTATGAGAGTATCACAGGTTGCATAAAGCCTGGCAAGGTGGGGAACCTGCAACGTATTGTTGATGTGCTAAAGCATCATGGGGAATACCATGCAGACCTAAGGATGGCAGGAAGCAAAACTCTGCTAATAATTGCTGCAGAGGCTGGACAGTTGGATGTGTTCAACTTTCTACTGCAAGAAGGAGCAAATGTTTTATTGAAGGATAGGAAAGGAAACAGCTGCCTTCATCATGCGTGTATTTCAGGAAAAAGAGATATTGTGAAAGTTGTTGTTGAAAAGTTTCCAGGTATGATTGATGATTGTAATGATGAGGGTTTCACATCTACACTGTTGTGTGCTGAGACACGACAGGAGGAGATCCTCAAGTTCCTGGTGTCACATGGTGCTGATCTCTCTGCTAAGATATTGGGAGGTCAAAGTTGTTTACATGTGGCGTGTGCAAGTGGTTATTTCTCAACCGTACAATATTTGTTGTCTTGTGAAATTATCAACATTAATGAAAGAACATTATCAAACACAACGCCGATTATGATGGCTGCCGAAAAGGGACACTCTGATGTTTATCATCTTCTTGTGTCAGAGGGAGCTGATCTGTCACTTACTAGTGAGTTGGGCAGAGACTGTCTGATGTATGCATGTGAGGGAGGTAACAAGTCTATAGTTAGACACTTACTGTCTTTGAAAACAATTAACATCAACAGGAGAGATCACAACAACATGACACCAGTCATGGTGGCAATTGAAGCCGGACAGTCTGATGTTTATCACCTTCTTATGTCAGAGGGAGCTGATGTGTCACTTACTGGTGACAAGGGCAGAGACTGTCTAATGTGTGCAAGTGAAAGAGATAGCAAGATTGCAGGGCTCACAAGAACCTCAGGTGACATGTCTATAGTTAGGCACTTACTGTCTTTGAAAACAATCAACATCAACAGGAGTGATCGCGACAACTGTACACCAGTCATGATGGCAGTACAAGCTGGTGACTCTGATCTTTATGACTTTCTTGCGTCAAAGGGAGCTGATCTCTCACTTCCTCACGAACATAGTTACAGTACTGACAAACATGGTTACAGTACTGACGAACATGGTTACAGTACTGACGAACATGGTCACACTACTGACGAAAATGGGCACAGTACTGACGAACATGGTTACAGTACTGACGAATATGGTAACAGTACTGACGGACATGGTCACAGTACTGACGAACATGGTTACAGTTCTGACGGACATCGTTACAGTGCTGACGAACATGATGACAATACTGACGAACATGGTCACAGTACTGACGAACATGGTTACAGTACTGACGAACATGGTTACAGTGCTGACGAACATGGTTACAGTACTGACGAACATGGTTTCAGTGCTGACGAACATGGTTGGAGTGCTGACGAACATGGTTACAGTACTGACGAACATGGTCACAGTACTGACGAACATGGTTACACTACTGACGAACATGGTTACATTGACTGACGAACATGGTTGACGAGGTACTGACGAACATGGTTTACACGAACATATTATGGTTACAGTGCTGACGAACATGGTTACAGTACTAATGAATATGGTTACAGTACTGACGAACATAGTCACAGTACTGACGAACATGGTTAGAGTACTGAAGAACATGGTTAAGGTGCTGACGAACATTGTCACAATACTGACGAACATGGTTACAGTACTGATGAAAATGGTTACAGTACTGACGAACATGGTTGGAGTGCTGACGAACATGGTTACATTGCTGACGAACATGGTTACAGTACTGACGAACATGGTTTCAGTGCTGACGAACATGGTTACAGTACTAATGAATATGGTTACAGTACTGACGAACATAGTCACAGTACTGACGAACATGGTTAGAGTACTGAAGAACATGGTTAAGGTGCTGACGAACATGGTTACAGTACTGACGAACATGGTTGGAGTGCTGACGAACATGGTTACATTGCTGACGAACATGGTTACAGTACTGACGAACATGGTTTCAGTGCTGACGAACATGGTTACAGTACTAATGAACATGGTTACAGTACTGACGAACATGGTTACAGTACTGACGAACATGGTTACAGTACTGACGAACATGGTTACAGTACTGACGAACATGGTTACAGTACTGACGAACATGGTTACTGTACTGACGAACATGGTTACAGTACTGACGAACATGGTTACAGTGCTGACGAACATGGTTACAGTACTGACGAACATGGTGACTGAACATGGTTACAGTACTGACGAACATGACGAACATGGTTACAGTAGTGACGAACATGGTTTCGACGAACATGGTTACAGTACTGACGAACATGGTTACAGTGCTGACGAACATGGTTACAGTACTGACGAACATGGTTACAGTACTGACGAACATGGTTACAGTGCTGACGAACATGGTTACAGTACTGACGAACATGGTTACAGTACTGACGAACATGGTTTCAGTGCTGACGAACATGGTTACAGTGCTGACGAACATGGTTACAGTACTGACGAACATGGTCACAGTACTGACGAACATGGTTACACTACTGACGAACATGGTTACATTGCTGACGAACATGGTTACAGTACTGACGAACATGGTTTCAGTGCTGACGAACATGGTTACAGTACTAATGAATATGGTTACAGTACTGACGAACATAGTCACAGTACTGACGAACATGGTTAGAGTACTGAAGAACATGGTTAAGGTGCTGACGAACATTGTCACAATACTGACGAACATGGTTACAGTACTGATGAAAATGGTTACAGTGCTGACGAACATGGTTACAGTACTAACGAACATGGTTACAGTGCTGACGAACATTGTTACAGTACTGACAAACATGATGACAATACTGACGAACATGGTCACAGTACTGACGAACATTGTTACAGTACTGTCGAACATGGTTACAGTACTAACGAACATGGTTACATTGCTGACGAACATGGTTACAATACCAACGAACATGATGACAATACTGACGAACATGGTCACAGTACTGACTAACATGGTTTCAGTACTGACGAACATGGTTACAGTACAGACGAACATGGTTACAGTACTGATGAACATGGTTACAGTGCTGACGAACATGGTCACAGTACTGACGAACATGGTTACAGTGCTGACGAACATGGTTACAGTACTGATGAACATGGTCTCAGCACTGATGAACATGGTTACAGTACTAACGAACATGGTAACAGTTCTGACGAACATGGCTACAGTACTGATGAACATGGTTACAGTACTGACGAACATGGTTACGGTGCTGACGAACATGGTCACAGTACTGACGAACATGGTTACAGTGCTGACGAACTTGGTTACAGTACTGATGAACATGTTCACAGTACTCATGAACATGGTTACAGTACTGACGAACATGGTTACAGTTCTGACGAACATGGTAACAGTACTGACGAAAATGGTTACAGTACTGACGAACATGGTTACAGATCTGACGAACATGGTAACAGTACTGACGAACATGGTTACAGTACTGACGAACATGGTTACAGTACTGACGAACATGGTCACAGTACTGACGAACATGGTTACAGTGCTGACGAACATGGTTACAGTACTGATGAACATGGTCACAGCACTGATGAACATGGTTACAGTACTAACGAACATGGTAAAAGTTCTGACGAACATGGTAACAGTACTGACGAACATGGTTACAGTGCTGACGAACATGGCTACAGTACTGATGAACATGGTTACAGTACTGACGAACATGGTTACAGTACTCACGAACATGGTTACAGTACTGGCGAACATGGCTACAGTGTTGACGAACATTGTTACAGTACTGACGAACATGGTTACAGTGTTGACGAACATGGTTACAGTACTGACGAACATGGTTACAGTACTGACGAACATGGTCACAGTACTCACGAACATGGTTACAGTACTGACGAACATGGCTGCAGTACTCACGAACATGGTTACAGTACTGACGAACATGATTACAATACTGACGAAAATGGGCACAGTAATGACGAACATGGTCACAGTACTGATGAAAATGAATAAAGTACTGACAACATGGTTTACACAGTACTGACTAACATGGTTACAGAACATGAACATGGTACTGACACCGACGAACATGGTCACAGATGACAATACTGACGAACATGCAATTGACGTACGAACATGGTTACAGTAAGTACTGACGAACATGGTTACAGTACTGACGAACGAACATGGTTACAGTACTAGAACATGGTAACGGTACTGACGAACATGGTAATGGTTTACACGAAACATGGTTACAGTACTGACGGACATGGTATTCACAGCAATTGACGAACATGGTTACAGTACTGACGAACATGGTTACAGTGCTGACGAACATGGTAACAATGACGAACATGGTAACAGTACTGACGAACATGGTTAAGGTACTGACGAACATGGTAGCAGTACTGATGGTAACAGTATGACGTGGAAACAGTACTGACGAACATGGTTACAGTACTGACGAACATGGTTACAGTACTGGACGAACATGGTTTACAGTACTGATGGTCAGTACTGACGAACATGGTAACAGTACTGACGAACATGGTACAGTACTGACGAACATGGTTACAGTACTGACGAACATGGTCACAGTACTGACAACATGGTTAACAGTACTGACAAACACGCAATGGTAACAGTACTGACGAACATGGTAACAGTACTGACGAACATGGGTGTTCGTGTGTTTACTTTTGTATTTTCCATTACTGTACATAATGTTGTATGGTAACAGTACTGACGAACATGGTAATAAAACATGGTAACAGTAATGACAAACATGGTTTACAGTATTTATGAACATGGTGATGCTGTATTGATGAGAAGCATGGTCACAAGTATTGACGAACATAGTACACAGTACCATTGTACACTGAACATGGTTACAGTACTAATGAACATGGTTGTAACGATAATGTACTGCTCAGTAAAACAACACAGTACTGACAAACATGGTTACAGTACTGACGAACATGTACCATAACATGGCATATTATGAAACATGGTAACAGTACTGACGAACATGGTCAACAGTACTGACGAACATGACCACCATTGTACAGTACTGACGAACATGGTCACAGTACTGATATCATGTAACATAATGTTTGTAATGAGATAATGACGATTATGGTTACAGTACTGACGGACATGACCACCATTTACATGGTGTTCGTGTGTTTACTTTTTGTATTTTCCATATGTTATGCATATCATGTATATAATGTTGTAATGAGATAATGTACATGTCTTCATGTGAGCACGACATGAACCAACATGGGCGGGTACTGACAAACATGACCACCATTGTACATGAGCATGGACAGATTCTGTGTTTACTTTTTGTATTTTCCATATGTTATGCATATCATGTATATAATGTTGTAATGAGATAATGTACATGTCTTCATGTGACCACGACATGAACCAACATGGGCGGTACTGACAAACATGACCACCATTGTACATGAACATGGACAGATTGTGTGTTTACTTTTTGTATTTTCCATATGTTATGCATATCATGTATATAATGTTGTAATGAGATAATGTACATGTCTTCATGTGACCACCATTGACATGAACCAACATGGGTGGGTAATTGACAAACATGACCACCATTGTACATGAACATGGACAGATTCTGTGTTTACTTTTTGTATTTTCCATATGTTATGCATATCATGTATATAATGTTGTAATGAGATAATGTACATGTCTTCATGTGAGCACGACATGAACCAACATGGGCGGGTACTGACAAACATGACCACCATTGTACATGAACATGGACAGATTCTGTGTTTACTTTTTGTATTTTCCATATGTTTATGCATATAATGTTGTAATGAGATAATGTATTCAAATGAGAAGCACGGCCATGGTACTGACAATTGTGACCACTTCACTAACCAACATGGGCGGATACTGACAAACATGACCACCATTGTGCATGAACATGGACAGATTGTGTGTTTACTTTTTGTACTTTACATATGTTATGCATATCATGTATATAATGTTGTAATGAGATAATGTATTGAAATGAGAATCACACGCATGATACTGACAATCATGGAGCACGGCACGAACCAACATGATCATGGTACCTATGAACATGGGCAGATACTATGTTCATTGAAAAGAACAGTGCTGATCTATTCAACTGTGATATGATATGTTCAAAAGTATTCAACTGTGATATGTAAAAGACAGGCATGATACTGACAATCGTGAACCTGGCACGAACCAACATGAGCATGGTAGCTATGAACTTTTTGTATTTTACATATGTTTATGTATATAATGCTGTATTGAGATAATGTAATCAGTTGAGAAGCACAGCCATGATACTGACAATCGTGAGCACAGCACTAACGAACATGGGCGGGTACTGACAAACATGATCACAATGGTACCTATGAACATGGACAGATACTAATGTTCATAACGACAGTGCTGACCGACACAGACATGGTATGGATCCAGCGACTGAGTATTGAACTATACAATAGTGTAAAATGCAAATATGATGGATGACAACTTCTTTATTGTGTGTCACAACTTTTCTGACCTTTTCCTTGCCCCTTCGTCAAGTGAAATATTTCTGGGTTATTCTTTGCCCCGTCAGGTGAATTGTAACAAGCAAGATACATCTATGAGATCATATATTAAATGTACAAGAAGCCAGTGCTGCGTGTATATACAATAAATTGGATAGAAACGGGAGATGAAAGAGTGACATGTACTGAAGATGGGCATTGTTTATACAAGAGATTAGCAGATGTAGATAGAAGCCAGTAATGAGCTAATTAATTTCCCAGGCACTGGGAGGTACACTCCTTGATCCCTGTTCACACTTCACCTGACGAAGGGGCAGGGAATAGCCCAGAAACGTTGTGACATACAATAAAGAAGAAGTTGTCATCCATAATATTTGCGTTTTACTTGAAGACCAACTTCTAAATGCCTCTCAAGAACATATACAATTGTGATACGATAACATGTCAGTCAAGTCACAACTTCTGATGCAAATAAATCCTCCATAAAAAACTACCACCTTTGTTGTTCATGAACGGCCCTGGAAACAAGACATGGGCACAGTATTGACCAACATGGTCTGATCCAGGATCACACAGGATGAGGGAGTCCGGGTGATCACTGAAGAATTTAGAAAGTAGGTCAATCACCATTCTCTTTAAAATCCTGACAGTTCCAAGTTACTGGTTCATCAAGTTACACCTTAGAAAATGAAAACAAAACAGAGACAGACTTCTTTTGTTGGCTTTTATTCACAACAATCTCATAATAAAACTTACTGACAAGCATTGATGATAAAATGTCATATATAAAAAGTGAGATAAGCGCCTTCTTTTGACCTCACTTAAACAAACTGGCATTTTGTGATTATTATTTATTTCAGAATGATCCGTCTTAAAAAGTATCAAAACAAAGAAAATGAACCTGTTACTTCTAGCAAATTATTGGGTCATCTACCACATTTGACAATTGAGGGAAAAGGGTCCCTGCCAGACTACAAACAGAAAACTCTGGAGAACTAGAGTTAGTGATACAAATGAAAACTCACGGTACAACTTCTGAACATCCACAGCAAGATTGAAGTGAGACAGATCATTTGACATTTCCCTGCCCCCAATCAATGCCTTCTACCTGGTTTGACGTGTTCAACTTGACAAAACAATTAGTTTAATTAAGCGACCCACATGTCTAGAACTCAGACATGTTACTAATAAGCACACATGTTAACAGAAAATGTTAAATATACGCCAGCTTTAGCACCTTAGATTAACGTCATGACACTGGAAGAGGTTTCGAGTATCATGACACAATGTATATTTTGTAACATCGTAATTTATGTCAAAACCATGGAAGTAGCGTTACATCACACACTAAAGTGTCATGACACATCATGACGTAAAGCATGACATTTTGTCACAACACATTATCCAAGTCATCGGACATGTTGACTTAAACATGACTTAATGCACAGAACATCTGATAATGCAGCCTCTATACCACCAGAGCCTTTCAGTAAGCCTACGCTAAACCCCTGGAGCCATTCCCATGGTCCTCACCCTTGATTTTCACTGCCATATTATCACCCAATTAAACCTGGTCATGAAGAACAGAGAAAGGGAGGTAACTTATCACCTAGAAACCAAAGCCACCAACTGGTATTATTTGACAGTAAGCCATCCTTTCCATCAATTGATTTTCAGTTTTTGAATACTGAATTTCTCAAGAACTTCATAATCAAACGGACTGGCCTCCATGTTGCTAATATTGTCAAACCAACATTGAGGCTGGTTTGTAAGTCACATTCTGTTGGGTATGTTAGAGGTAAGTGAGTGAGTGAGTGAGTTTAGTTTTACGCCGCAGTCAGCAATATTCCAGCTATATGGCGGCAGTCTGTAAATAATCGAGTCTGGACCAGACAATCTAGTGATCAACAGCATGAGCATCGATATGTGGTATGTTAGAGGTAAAAATGGCAAAAGGACATCAAGTGATGGTAATTTGTCCTCATAAGAACCACAGAATGGATTCAGAGTTGGTGTAGGTTTACGCAAATAAAAGATATATGATTTGTTGTAACACAGTCCTGTGTCATGATATTCTATCATACAATGCTGTGATGCATCATGTGACCAAATTTACGTAACACGCAACATGTAAAACTCCATAACCAGACAAAGTTCATCATGTGCCAAATGCCACTATGAAGCTCAAATGAAGTACATGTTGAGAAAACCCAAAACGACAGTGATGACAGTTATTACCAATCACGATGTATCTTAGAATTGTCTCTCGGAGATTTAATTTGTTGTTTACGCTGTCCTCAGCAATATTCCTGCCATATGAAGGCCGTCTGTACATAATAGAATCTGGACCAGACAATCCTGTGATTGATATCACAGGCATCAGTCTATGTAATAGGACACCATGGAAATGGATTTAATGCTACCTTGAACAGTACTTCACTGAGTGGATGTCTCAACGGATCCAGAAAGGCACCCGGTACAGATGCTGAACACTTTGTTGAAACTGATGAGCAGATGTGACGCAGACAAAACAAGGTTGACAAACTTGATATCTGAACACATCAAGCTGGAAACAGTGTGAGGGGCACTAACTTGGAAATCCTAGGATGTTTTCAGAGTTTCAACAAGGTGAAACGTCTTTCTTAAGATACGTAGGAGGTATTCATTGCCAAATTAACAAGAATATTATTTTCTATTTTGGCGCTAAACTGCCATCATGGGTGGATACAGATAGATTGGATTGTTCCTTCTTCAACAATCCACATTTTTCAGAGATGTTCACAGTGAAGTGTTGATATTTGTTTGTTCAATAGAAGGACTAATTACACTTGATATCAAAGTAGCTAACACCCCCCACCCCAATCCCTCCAAAAGAACACCCTCACAACAAAACAACCCCACAGATCAATGGCTCTCTTATTACGCTATACACAATCATAAATAGGATAAAACGTAATATTGTCTACTCATTCTATCATGTTCAACATGCAAACTAGATCTTATCTGCCCTGGGCTTACAACTAACCACTGTGTGCCTTCACTGTCAAAAACGGCCTTTGTGAATTCCACAAGCAACACAACATGAAAACAACATTAATTCAAACAGCACCTTAATAAAATCCTGTTTTGTTGGGATTAATGCTGTTTTCTGGTGATAAATGTTTTCACAATTTCTAGTACATCAAGGGCAAAGAATTAACACATGATATTTTCCAGTTATCTTTGATGCAAAAATACATTGTATGGTAAAACAAATAGAAAGGTTTGGAAATGGATGGCATCATGTCAAAAGAAATACAAATAACTCATGCTGACTGTCATGACTTGTAGAAAATCTCTACTTCCTTCAAGGATGTCGGTTCCCCTCACAGCGGAAGTGTTGGGACAATGCAGGGCATGGACTTGGGGATACTCAATCATCAGCAGGACTTGGAAAACCACTCCTTTCTTTTTCGCTTCTTGCAGGGGATGAGGCTCTAGAGGCATCGGAAACACCCCGATCATCTTGCTCACCATTTGTTTGTTCCACAGATTTACTTTTTGAACGACTTCGGGATTTAGAGCGACTTTTAGACTTACCGACTGATTTTATTTCAGACCTGGAAACAGAAATGGACCATACCTAATCATGCTGTCAGCATTACCTTGTCTTTGTCCAAATAGTGGAAACTACAGTCAAACTGACAGATCCACACAAGACAAGACCTTCCTGACAATCTATGCTACTTCGACAACCCAAGACTACTTTATGCTGAACGTGACCATCAACCCCTGGATGCTGAGGGTGTTTTTAACATACATCTTTACAAAGATACTGGATCTACATACGGCTGTAATAATTACATTGAGGTGCAGAATATTACATTTCCTATCCCATGGTGTAAAATAGAAAACAAATATGTATGTGGTTTGAAAAACAGACACTGTTAAGCGGCCTTCACACGGCAAACTAAAATATGACAACATATGTTGAAATTTTAAAAGCTGTCTAAGTCGCGTTTTCACACGTCAAACACATATTGTCAAACTTACGTGTCATTTGAGCGCCATGTTTCTATCGGTGTGGTCACGTGACAATTTCGGGGACACCAGAAATGGGCATCACACATTGTGCCCATGTGGGGAATCGAACCCGGGTCTTCGGAATGACGAGTGAACGCCTTAATCACTAGGCTACCCCACTGCCCCTGTATGATACAGAGTTCTTGTGATGAACATACAGAAAGGAAGATTCCTCACCTGCTTCGAGAACGACTCCGTGATGCTCTCCTCTTCTTGTCCCTGCTACGACTTCTGCTTCTGCTGCTGTGGCGACTACTGCGTCTGTCACGGCTTCGGCTGCGATTTCGACTCCTCTTCTTCCTCTCTCGACTCCGACTTCTTCGAGATCGGGATCTAGATCTGGATCGGTAGCTTGGAGGAGAAATACTTGAGTCAGTTCAACCCAACAGTAAGTCACCGACAAGCATGGGTGGTGGAAAACTAATTCTTTCCTGCATCTTAAAAGGGGATTCTTAGCACTACTAGTAGTAGTATAACAGTGATAAGTGACACAACGAGAGTCCTACCAGCTCAGACTCCAGCTACAAAACTACTGGTATAAAAAAAAAAAAATTACACCCACAGCATACTCTACACAATGAGGATATTTGGGCCTCATCCCCATGGCTTACCAACACAAAAACAAGGACACTGGTACCAGCCCAATCCTGTCACAGATGAATTCTGGGATTCCGCTATCATAGAGAGATATCAACAAAATTTAACTAGCGGATATGAAGAAAATTGCAGAATTTGTTTTTTCTTAACCAGCAGCCCTTTAATTTTAATTGTTTTCAAGCTTTTCAACTGATTTTTTATAATAAGATAACCAAAAAATATTTAGTATGAGCTTCCAACATTAATCCTTCAGTAAAACAAAATTTGAATAAATTATTCCAGTGGCATTTATTACGTGTAATACATAAAATATGTTTACATCGAACCATCAATAAACATAAGACACTATGCATATTCCAACTTGAATATCATGGCTCTATCACTGCATTGTCAATGACATAAAACAACAGACAATGTCTGGAGTTACCTCCCCCTTCTCCTCCTTGGTGATGGTGACCTGTATCGACTGCTTCTACTTGACCTCCGTGGTCCGAAGGACCGGTCATCAGGACAATCTCGGGCCCAGTGTCCTGGACGGTGGCAGCGGTAGCACTCATCATATCCCTGGCAAGAAATAGCAAAATAACTTTATTTCTCATTTAAAAATCAGGGAATGGGAATGTAAAACAGGTCTTTTCAGTCAGTTTTCAGATTTTAAAGTCATAAACCATTAGTCGAATGAGAACATTTCAATGTTCTTCAATGTTCTCTTTGAAAAAAACAGATGGAGTTGGCAGGAAGATAGTATGTTAATCCTGAATACCAGAGTACAGTAGCTCACCTATACGCAGTTGTACACAACTGAGGATGTGCTGAACTGACACATGCTTACTAAACACCCACAACAGAAATATAGTTGCACACAACTACTGTAGTGATAAAGTAAGCGAGTGAGTTTAGTTTCACGCCGCACTCAGCAATATTCCAGCTGTACAGCGGCGGTCTGTAAATAATTGAGTCTGAAGCAGACAACATCAACATCATGAGCATGGATCGATCTAAGCAATTGGGATACGGCGACATGTGTCAATCAAGTCAGCGAGCCTGACCACCTGATCCCGTTAGTCGCCCCTTACAACAAACATCAACCAAGTCAGCAAGCTTGACCACCTGATCCCGTTTGTCGCCCTTACAACAAGCATCAACCAAGTCAGCAAGCTTGACCACCTGATCCCGTTTGTCGCCCTTAACAACAAACATCAACCGATTCAGCAAGCTTGACCACCTGATCCCGTTAGTCGCCCTTACAACAAGCATCAACCAAGTCAGCAAGCTTGACCACCTGATCCCGTTTGTCGCCCCTTACAACAAGCATCAACCAAGTCAGCAAGCTTGACCACCTGATCCCGTTTGTCGCCCTTTACAACAAGCATCAACCAAGTCAGCAAGCTTGACCACCTGATCCCGTTTGTCGCCCCTTACAACAAGCATCAACCAAGTCAGCAAGCTTGACCACCTGATCCCGTTTGTCGCCCCTTACAACAAGCATATGCATGCCTTGCAGAGAGCCATTTATAGGCATATGCTTCACTGATTGATAAATAACATTCACCTTAAACAGTTTGTTTAAAAATAATTCCGGAATTCTCTAAAATCTAAACTTGAGGCTTGAACTGCCTCACTTGACTGCAGGTGTGAGACTGATTTGAAACCCTAGAAATCAGTTGTTGCTGTACAAGTTACTCCCCCTTGTAGCTCAATACAGACAGTAGGATTTACTTCCTTGTTACCTGGCAGGACAGATACATCCCTTTGCACGTTCTTCACATTTTACAAGGTAAATAATACACACATTGCTGATTGTTGAATGAAACCACTTTCATTCACTCACTGATGTTTATAGCAAAGTTGGAAAATATCTGAAAACCAATGAGGACATAATCTGTAAAAAAGATGGCATTTTGAAATATGGGTGATTTAGAAGATTGCAATGCTATTTTATTTCAATAGGTGATATGTTAAGTAATGTACAAAACACTATAAAAGGGTTTATAACAGTTACTATAATCTGAGACATGAAGAATTATTAGTACAAACCTTTTGTTCATGTCTAATGCCCATGATATAACATTGAAAATATAACATCATCTGGGACAATGTCTCCTTTGAGTACAATGAAAATAACCAGCCCATTCAAGCTAACAGAAGAGAAATATTTTATAATTAATCCTCTGAGATCGTACAGATTTTGTTGCTGCACAAGTTACTTCCCCTTGTAGCTCAATACAGAAAGTAGGATTTACTTCCTTGTTAACTCAGGACAGGACAGACATCTGCACTACATATGTTCCTCATATTTTAGAAGGTAAATGATACAAATAATGCTGATTGTTGCATGAACCCACCTTCATTCACTCACTATAGTATATAGCAAATATGGTACATATTTATCCCAAAGACCACTGACCATACAGGGCGTTATGCTTTGCTGTTGTATCTGATAATGTATTTGCATTTAAATACTAGTGTCTCCCCATTTGTCAGACACCTGACTTCTTAGACAAGTAGTCATCCTAAAAGCAAAATATTTATGGATGCGGAATATACTTATTGAATACCACTAATTAAGATGTGTGGACCATGTTATTTTAGGATTATAATTATATACATGTATAGCGAATTATTGGGATTAATATATATGACCACTGGTACTTAGAGACCCCAAATGACGTCACAGCTAACATGGCATTTCGGTTAAGATCATGCATTAATGGAGCAGTAAGGGTCACCTATAGAGGAGGATACCTAAACCAACATAGCCACATTTTGTCATGTGGTATAATATGAAACTTAATTATTACTGATTCTGAAAACCGATGATGACAATCTGTAAAACGACGGCATTTTGTAAATATGAGTGATTTAGAAGATTGCAATGATATGTTAATGTACCTTTAATGAATAACTACTATAAAGGGGTTTCTCTACAGTTACTATATTCTTAGACAATAAGCATTATTACTACAAAACTTATGTTCATGTCTAATTGTTGTGATATATAATTGAAACATATCCTCATCCGGGACAATGATTTTGAATACAATGAAGATACCAGCCCATTCAAGCCAACAGAAAAAAACATATTTTATAATCAAACATAGTAACCTGACTTGAGGCTTGAACCGTGTCACTGGGCTGCGGGTGTATGACTCATCTAAACCTATACATATCTTGTTGCTGCACAAGTTACTTCCCTGGACATTTGTTCTGAACGTTCTTCACAATTGACAAGGTCAATAATACAAATAATGCTGATTGTTGCATGAACCATCTTCATTCACTCATTGTATATAGCAAATATGCTACATATCTATCCCATACACCACTGACCATTATGACTGAGGAAGTATCAGATTAGAAATGTATTTCCATTTAAAACGTAGTGTTTCCCCAATTGCAATGGTCCCGAAACGTTGTGTGTAAAAGATTAACGAAGATTAATCCATAAAAATATCTTGGTAATCTATAACAACTTCTAAATGCCGCTAAAAGACAAGATATTTATTAATGACAACTTGTTTCCTTATACTGTCTAACACTGCCGACCATCTTTTTAGGATTATAATGATATATGGTTGAATCATTAGGATTAAGATATATGACCACTGGTGTTTAGACACCCCAAATCAAGTCACCGATAATATGATATTTAGGCTAACAATGTGCATTACTTTCTTTGAGAGGCAGTAAGGAAGGATAACAGTATATGGATGAACAAATTCTTTATTGCTCCTTCCTGAAGGTGAACAGAGGGAGCAGTAAGGTCACATTTTGTGGGGCTCCCAAACCAGCATAAGCACATTTTGATGGGGCACCCAAAGCAGCATAAGCACATTTTTGAGGGGCACCCAAACCAGCATAAGCACATTTTGAGGGGGGCACCCAAACCAGCATAACCACATTTTGAGGTGGCACCGACATCGTCGTTTGTTTTCTGCCTTAAATTAATCGTAATTATCCTAAGAAAGCATTAAATTTAAGGCATCTTAGAAAGAAATCCAGTTCGCTTTACCACCATGTATAGGAGTAATAAAGACACTTTCGCCCTGAACTATTATAACGTTAAAGCACTCGGACGCAAGCATGCTCGTAATTTAACTATAATAGTTCAGGGCGAAAGTGTGCTTTATTACACTAGACATGGTTGTAGAGCGAACTGTATTTCTTAATTATGACAAGTTCTTTATTCTATTCTATTATAGTGTTGGCACTCATGCTTAACAATGGGATAAGTATCTATACTGTAAGGGTTTCTCATCATTGCCTAACACAGCCCTCTCATTTAGCTTCCATAAGTCCGTCCACTGGCTGACCCAGCTGAGCTAAGGGTGTTGAATAGACTTGAATACCACCAATTAAGATGTATCGGATTATAATTATATATAGTTGAATTATTGGGATTAAGATATGTGACCACTGGTATTTAGACACCCCAAAGTAAGTCACAGCTGACATGGCATTTAAGTTAACATTGTGCATTAAGTGGAGCAGTAAGATCACCTATAGAGGGGGTACCCAAACCAACATAACCACATTTTGTCATGTGGTAAAATTTGATGCGATATTATTTCTCAGGAACTGAATACCGATGATGACGTTCTGTGAACAGTTGGCATTTTGAAATATGGGTGATTTAAGAGATAATGCAATGATGTTTGATTTATTAGATGATATGTTAATGTACATTTAATGAATAACTACTATAGAAGGTTTTCTAACAGTTACTATAGTCTACGATATTAAGCTTTTATATTACTACACAACTCATGATCATGTCTTATGCCCATGATATAACATTGAAAATGTAACATCATCCGGGGCAATGGTTTTGAGTACAATATGTGTATAGATACCAGCCCATTCAAGCCAATAGAAGAAGTGCTCTTATAATTAACCATAGTTACCAGACTTGAGGCTTGAACAGCGTCACTTGGCTGCAGATGTGTGACTTAATAGTATCTTAGATTATACAGATTTTGTTGCTGTACAAGTTACTTCCCCTTGTAGCTCCATACAGAAAGTAGGATTTACTTCCTTGTTACCTGGCAGGACAGAGACATCCCTCTGTACGTTCTTCACATTTTACAAAGTAAATAATACAAATATTGCTGATTGTTGTATAAAACCACCTTCATTCACTCACTGATGTTTATAGCAGAGTTGGTAAATATCTGTAAACTGTTGGCATTTTGAAACATGGTTGATTTAGAAGATTGCCATATATATTTGATTTCAATTGGTGATATGTGAATGTACATTTAATGACATAACCACTATAGAAGGGTTTCTTACAGTTACTATAATCTGGGACATTAAGAATAATTACTACAAAACCTTTGTTCATGTCTTGAATGTCAATGATAGATCATTGAAAACATAACATCATCCGGGACTATAACTTTTGAGCACAATGAAAATATCAACCCATTCAAGCCAACAGAAGAGAAATAGTTTAAAACAAGCATTGTCACTAAGGTGTTAAGGTGAACCTAGGTACCAAATATGAAAAGAATCTAGGTAACGGATCTTAAGATATTCCAATTCGTACGGACGGACGGAACCTAATACTTTATCCCCTGCTTCGCGCGCTAAACGCGCGGTTGGGGATAATAAAACATACTCACCAGATTTAAGGCTTGAAGCGTGTCACTTGGCTGCAGATGTGTGGCTTATCTAAGATTGTGCAGATATTGTTGCTGTACAAGTTACTTCCCCTTGTAGCTCAATACAGAAAGTAAGATTTACTTCCTTGTATCCTGGGACAGGACAGACATTTGCACTACATATGTTCTTCACATTTTACAAGGTAAATAATACAAATAATGC